GAAACAGACTTTGGGACTTTTCTCAAAGGACTTATGATGTTTTTCACTGTATAAAACAATTTTCATCTGACGCTTATCGTTTACCCCCGTTTCTTAGGAGGGGAGCTTGCGAGGTTGATAATAACAGATCGGCTTGAAAGTTTTACCAATGATAGTTCGACCTGAGTGAACCTTAACCCTAGAAGGTTTTGACTCCATGGCCATAAATGGCTGAGCAAAAAATTTCGAAAGTTTCAAACTTTTTGCTCAGAGTTGGCACTTCTATATGACCTCTAACTAGTTCTATGGGGGTGGATGTTTATATAGCATCTGTAATACATTTTTACAACAGGATCAATATTTTTGAAACCTGCTGTTTGGCATCGACGTCTAATTTCTGGGGTGGATAAATTCGATCATGGGGTCAATGGGACCACCCCCCTTAGCGCCAGGGGGCGTGGTCAAATACTTTTTTGAGGTTAATTTTTTTCTATTCACATGGATTCCACCCCATTGTGACAAGAATCGTTAAAAGCATTATGTGACCTAGCTTCCACACCCCCTCTACCCAGGGGGTGTGGTTATATCGAAAATAGGGAAATCATGACAACTTTTGAGCTGATTAATACTTTACAATTCTGTTTTCATCATACGCCACCATAAATTAATACCGAGTGAACGCCACACCCCCTCGCAGTCAGGGGGTGTGGTTGGGGGATAATGAGATTTTACCGATCTTGCTGAGAGGCTTGTTGGCCGATCTTGTATTGCTTAACAACATTGCAAATTTGAAATCGGGGTACTTTTTGAATTGTTGACCAATTTTCAAAATTGGGCCCGTTTTGGAAACTTCAGGTCAAACTGCGAAATATATATTCCCAGTTTTTTTTTAATTCGACCACACCCCCTTACAATTAAAGTCACAATTTCAAAAAACAAAACTTCAAAAACTCGAATCGCTTGTCGAAAACATACCCCGACGCACATTTAAAACTTTTCAAGTGGTCACATGCCCGCCCCCCAGTGGGTGTGGCTCTGGGCGCCTTTTCGATTTCACCCAAAACATGGGGTGCGACATATCATTATTCTCAGCTCGACGAGGAGATTCCGACAGAGAAAGTAAAATTTCGAAACCACACCCCCAGTGGGTGTGGCCATAGGCTTTTTACCGGTTTACTCGAAACCACGCCATGTGATACATCATTTTTCTCAGCCGGATGAGCGGATTTCAGCATAAGTATAAAAATTAGAAGCCACACCCACTGGGAGTGTGGCCGTGGGCGTCTTTTCGATTCAATTGGAACCATGTTATGCAATATATTACTTTTCTCCGGATGACGGGATTTGAATTAAATAATGAAAATTCAGAAATCGGACAACCAGTGCGTATAGCTCTCGGTGGCTTTGACTTCCAATCTAAACCGTGTAGTGCCAGTTTTCGGAGCTCGACAAGTAAATTGGGATAGAATAATTCAAGATTAGAACCCAGACACTAGTGTGGTTAAAGTAGGGTGATCAGAATATTCCAAATTCCTCTCAAATTACAATACGATCTCATGCAGGCTTGAATTAGGAAAACACCGACAAAATTTTTGGCGTTCAAGATATTCTTAATTAGTCAAATGGGGTAGGTAGGTGGCTGGATTTGTTCTAAAACTTCTGTATAATCTGGGCACCGCGCCTTTATTAAATGGCGCAAGCTACTTTATGCGATCGGTTAGTTGGTCTGTCTGTCAGTCCGTCCGTAAGTCCTTCCGTCTGTCTGTCAACACTAAAACTCGAGACTGGTTTGTCGCAGCGACCTTAAATTTTTAACACATGTTCTTCACGGCTATTGGGTGACACCCTATTAAGGGGGTGTGGCCACTTTGTCGACATCATGTCGAAAAACGTCGCCAAGCCTTGATTTCGGCATTTTTCGGTCGATTTGCATGAAATTTGGGCAAAACATGTCTTTTGGTGTTGTCGGCATCTCGCATTATGGCGATTAAGGTTTCGAAACTTTTTTCGACATGCTTTGTCGCCATGCCCTAATTTCGGCATTTTGCGGTCGATATGCATGAAATTTGGGGAAAACGTGTTTTTCTGAGTTGTCGACATGTCGCAGTATAGAGCATGTGATCAATTAAATTTAATTAATTAATTAATTTAATTAATTTGAGCTTGATAGCGCAAATTAATTCTCAGCATTCTCAGCATTATTGCGCTACTTATGTATCGTGCTTTGCCGCACTTTATTTCTTATTATTTCGGATTATAATATTGTATCCGTATCTCATTTAACCAGGACCCTATCGTTTTAAAAATGGTCCATGGTCTTAATCCGCAACTAAGCTTCATTTATCTGCCAATGTCTAAATAAACTCAATTTACCAAATTGCCTATCACATGACACGGTTTTGATTAGAGCTCAGAGTCGCCGAGAGCCACACAGACTCGGGGTTCTGTTCTTGAAGTTTCATAATTCAGTTGAGATCATATCACTCGGCCGAGAAAATTAATATATAGCATGACATGGTACCAATTCAATCGAAAAATCAACATGTACCACACCCACTGGGGGAGAGGTTTCTAAATTATACACTTTATACACTTTGGTTGAATTCACTCATTCAACTGTGAAAAACGATATATCACATGACATGGTTCCACTTAAACCGAAAATACGCCCATGACCACACCCCCAGAGGGCGTGGCTTCTAATTTTTATAATTCCGGTGAGATCCCCTTATCCGGCTGAGAAAAACGATATATCACATGACATGGTTCCACTTAAACCGAAAATACGCCTAGAAGCCACACCCCCAGTGGGTGTGGCTTCTAATTTTTATACTTATGCTGAGATCCGCTCATCCAGCTGAGAAAAATGATGTATCACATGGCGTGGTTTCGAGTAAACCGGTAAAAAGCCTATGGCCACACCCACTGGGGGTGTGGTTTCGAAATTTTACTTTCTCTGTCGGAATCTCCTCGTCGAGCTGAGAATAATGATATATCTATTTTTGTCATAAAAAATCACGTTACTAAACTTACGATTTTACGAAGCTTGACCCCTTGTTTTTTCTTAGTAAACTACATTAATTTTACGATACGAAGAAATAATGAATACCCTCATTAAAATGTGTTACCGATGAGTTGTATATGAGTTTGCCATAATGTAAATTCGATATAATTACTCACCAACTTGTGGAATATTGCAATCATAAGTCTGTTTGGACTACCAGATAAATTTGGGATTAAATGGTATCAATTTCAAATATCAATCAATTGTAAATTGACAATTTTTACAGAAGGTCTATAAATTATGTTACGCAAGAGGGAGAAGTTTAGGTCTAAGGCTCCAATGATATCGTGTGTATGTGACACATGTTAAAGGGGGGAGGGGGGGTCTAGAAGATCGCGATTTTTTCCGTGACATAATTTATGGACCTTAGGCCCTGTCCAAAACTCATTTACGGCTCATTTACAACTCATTTAAAGTTTCGCTTCAAACTAAAAAGGTACAAATTTTATATTTATATTTTTCAGGCCCAAACTGAAGCTAGATATATGTGCCAAACCCGACGTCAGTTTAGAATCCAAGAAAAAATCTATAGTCTAGAAATTGTAATAATATAGAAATTTTGCATTTTTTAAAATATTTGATTAACTAAGAACTCGTTGTGGTATTTTATGGTATTTTCATGATATCCGTATTTTACTGTGAAAAAATTGATAAAAGTGTACCTTTTGAGTAGCAATAAAATTATTGAAATTTTTCAACCTTAATTTGTTAAGACAGAAAAAACTTGGTTTGGATAAGCTTTCCTTTTTCGAACGTTTTTTGAAATTCTGAAAACTAATTTCCGGATTTTGGACTTTTGGAAAAAATCGAACTCCAAAATTCGTAAGGCGTCCTTACATACGATTGTATGAGCTATAAGTTTGGAAATCGTTTGCATGGAAAATGATTCGTGAAGACTTGCAGTTTTTCATACACACACATAGATTCTTTTGGATAAATCACAATTACTAAACGTATATTTTACAATTTGAAGTATGTACATACGAGTATGACAAGCATTGTTCTAATTTTATTACTAGTTATGTTACCGTCAAGCGTAACAAGATTTAGTATTTAAATCAAGCTTGATGAGAATAAAAAAATAAAAAAATAGACACAAAAATATTTTACATTTCATTAAATTAGTAAGCAGAGTATGTACAGATAATGTAATTTCATTATTGAAATTTTTCCCGTGGGGACACTAGCATTACAGGTCACCCTGGAACATTTTCACCCTGTCCGCCTGCTTCCGCCTTCATGGATGCTTATGATTAGAAACTACCTATATACATGCATTCCACCAATCACAAAACTTTCACAGGAAATTAACTAATTATTCGAAAACTATGCTAAGATTTGCGAGTCCAAAAACCCGTACGGAGGAATTAAATCAACACTATTTGTGGACAAGTTCAACAAGCGTACTTAAAAATTCGAACGTGAAGCTTACAAATTAATGAATTAATATGTTGATCTCCTTTACAACATATGTAAATCCACACTACCATATATGTGTGCCAACAAAGTAACATTCCCCATCGTGTGATGTAAATCAACAATCATAGATTTTGAGTATAATAAAAGCTGGACAAATGGAGACCAGCGTTACGTGACAGAGGGGTGGGTGGGCCCCCAAATTTTTGTGGCACTAGCGTGACGAGGGGGAGGGTGGGTGCCCAAAAAAGCCTAAATTTGCGTTATGAAGTTTATGAACGTCCCCTTAGACAGGCTTATTCGGTTGAATGGGATGGGAGGGGTAGATTGAAGATAAATATAACCTTAATGGCTTTTTTTAGATTAATCCTTACGAAAATATTACAGTTTTTAATGAGTTGCAACTGTCGCAAGTATATGAGAAACGTGTATCAATGATAAGGCGGAAATTTAATTAATTTAGTTCATGGGTGTTTTTAGCTTCATAGAAATAAAGGAAGTACATATGATATGACACAAATCCAGCAATATTCTCAAACACTTTTTCCATCGTCTGATTTATTTAGTCCCCTAATACATGAGATTCAGCCCAACGTAACTTTAAATAACTTTGCATTAAAAAAAAAGTTTGCTAGCTTTCTCCTACAAAGTGAAGTACATAAATTAAAATTAACACTGGACTACTTCAAAATTGATAGCTAATCTTTAAGTACGACATGACTAGACGAAGTTCTATTCAAAGGCAATGATTTACCACTGGAAGACTTTCTTCATACTATTCACCAACGATTCTTTCGCATTGGGAAACATTTCCAAACCTCGTGTGAAAAGATGAGCCGCATATACCTTGTCAGTATCATTTCTTAAAGATACAAAGTCTATTCCAACTTTTTTGACAGACTCCACAACTGTACAGCCATCAGGGAAGAATTCACTTTCTCCAGGAAACAGATTTCTTTCAGCAATGGAAATTTCCAAGATTTCCAACATGGGAAAGCATATTTTGTAATCAATCTCAGCAAAGTGCCCAGGACTAGATTCAAATTCAACGGCTTGAAAGGTATCCGGATTTCCGATTATTTTGAAACTTTTCATGACGGGAAAAACCGGAAAAGTTAAGGTCATTACTGTCTTAATATTGTGATAGGGTTCCATATTAATCTCAAATGCTTCCAGGCTGGGAGAAAGTTTCTTTAGTAAATTATACAACGTCGTTGACAGCTGGTCTAAATATGCGCCACTGAGGCGAGGACGGTGGTCGCAGTAGTAAGAGGATTCCTTCATGGTTAGACGTTTTAAAGTGGGAGGGAACTGGAGCAGCCATTCGCCCACTTTGATGTCAAAAAGCCCTTCGACTACCAAAGAGTTGATTGACCTGAAATAATTTGAACAATAATGTTTAGTATACTACAACAAATAACGATAACAAATTACTACAAGCAGGATTTCATACACTATAAATAATCCTGATATTACCAGGCGGTGACTATGTACAAGTTCACAGAAATTGTAATAAATTTCCTAACAACCAGTCGTAAATCTGTTATCGCCCTGATAATAACAGTTACAGTTACCGAGGAGCAAAAATTACTACCAGCGTGATAATAAACTTACTAGCAGCAGCAAAAAATTTGTTACCATCGCGGTAGAGTCATATATTGTAACTTCTGGTAATATCGCTTATTACCACGTAATTTTGAGTGTACATAAACTTGTGACTTTGACACTGTTGTGATATATTTATTACTAATCGGTAAATCAATTATTTCCATTTGTGCTGAAGATGTTATATACTATAGTTTGCTAACAAATTCATCACAGTTGTTAAAACATTTATAACAGAGTAACAGATGTGGTCCTGCTGGTAATAATTTGTTACCAGGTGGTTTAAGAGTGTCGAAGTATATTGAATTTGAATTATTATTATATTTCCCAAGGAAATTAATGCTTACTTACGCTGGAAAATTTTCCACCAATCCCAACTCGGCAAATGCAATTATTTGGTAATAATTGAGTTCTAGATGGCTTAATTTCGTGAATGACTTGGTAATCGCGGGATAAATCGTTTTCACGGTTTGGTCGGTCGACCCAGGACAACCACGGACCACGAATTTAGTCAAATTTTGGAAGACGGTGCCTTCAAAGGATGGCAAATCCGGGTCGAATTCATCCCATATAATTGTTAACTCTTCCAAGGTATAGGACGAATTGAGAATAATATTTGGACAGTATTCCATCATCCACCCAATTTCCCCACCCACATGTAGAACGATTGATTTTAAGTTGTTAATTGGTGAGATGTCCACCGGTAAGTGGTCAATGTCTGGGCAAATTTCGACAGATAGAAATACATTGATCGGACGGAATTTCCATTTTTCCACAATTTCCAAAATATTTAAATCCAGGTCAAAATTCGTTACTGTCCTCTTTTTTAGGATGGGAATAGCTCCATAATTCAAAATGTGAGAGACAAGCCGACAATTTTTGATGTCCGTCGTACCAAGAAACTTGCAGATGTGGTTAATTACCTGATCCAAGAAAAATCCATTATTTATTTATTAATGGATTTATCAATATTTAGACATTTATGTGTGGATAGAAGTTTACGTATGAGTTGAGAAAACATTCCGAAGTAGACCTAGGTGGAGGTGGACTGACCATACTGACTGGTTTTATCCTTTGTACATATAACATAAAAGTTGCGAGTTTAAATATTTGCAAATCACTTGTAAATTGTATTTTCATAATAAATATGTTTATTGTTACACTTATAAAAACGGTTTTTCATGGCGCAACACAAACCTGTGATAAGAGCGAAAGAGGAATTTTTCGAGTAGATGTTGACGAACGTATGTTAATTGGATAGCAATTAGTTAAAAGAGAAATAAATGTTTGCTTTAATTTAAAGAAAAAGATACTGAAACAAAGAAGGGAAATGCGGGAAGTTTTCCCGCATGACTTTGCCTCGGTTTTGTCCATCATCATCAGAGGGTGGATATGTATATGGACGTAAATTGTGCAAAATAAATGTGCATGTAATAATATGTGCCTAAAAACCCGGAAAATATGCACATGAAATAGGTATGTTTTTCAACTTAAATTTTCTACTTTATTTATAAGAATATAGTTGTGAGGAAACCTTAATTTCTGAATGAAGAAAAATAGTTTTACATACAAATTTTTGAAATATCCATTAGAATATTTATATTTAGAAACATAGTCGAAACATACAAAACATATGTATGTACGAAAAATCCTCAAAATGTGTACACTCTCAATAATTTTTTGACAATATTGTTACCGTCGGAGACACTATGCAATTCTACCGCGTGGTAACAACATAGTAACAAATTGTCTTCTGTGGGTAAGAAATTGCCTCCGGTATCGGTAATATTTTTATTACCCGAGCGCTGACATTGGGGGCAGTGCAGGATTTAGCCTCTGTATATATGTTACCCTTCGGTGATAAATTATTACCTGAGCGGTAGAGTTGCATAGTACCTCCGCCGGTAACAATATCATCAAAAAATTATTGAGAGTGTATGTATGAAAAAAAGGAATATGTACTAAAATTTTAAAATATAGAAAATATGGAAAACTACGTTTGATTTTTTGTGATAGTTTTTAAATACGACGTCCATGTACGATCCGATTTGGTATTTCAAAGTCATAAATACATACCTACATATATAACCACGGTCTGATCATCATCTGGCTCTATTCAAGGATGAGGTATGAGAAGTAAGACGAAAATGTCAGGATAGTGCAATATGGGTAAATGGACGAAAAGTGGGGGAGGACTTTGCTCAATGGTTCGAGCGGGTGAGGGGAAAGTTTGGGTAGCATCCACAACAACTTCTCTTCCGCACGTGGAAAAATTTGGAATTTCTTCCCAACGGGCTTATCTCGTCTCCAATTAGTAAATTTAGGATAAGCAATGTATATAAATATGTATAAAATGTTGCAATTTGAATATATTTTATTTAATAAGTAGCTTCGGCTACTTTATGCGAAGACTTTGTTCGTCTGTCTGTCTATCTGTCCGTGGCAGGAATCGGACCACCCCCTTGTCGCCATGGGGTGTGGTCGGGGTAAAACGAGATTTTTAAAGAAATCGAATCTATAGATGAAATATAGTGAAATTAATTGTTCCCGCAATGTGTCACACCCCTTCACACTCAAGGGGTGTGGGCGGGGCAAAATGAGATTTTACTGAAATTGAATCTATAGATGAAATATGAAGAAATTAATCATAGGGAGAATTAATGGTAAGGAGATTGTGAAACTCGATTGAGGTTATTTTAGTACATTATTCAGTATTTGTAAAATAAACCGCAGTAAGCGCACATACGGAAGTAGCTTCGGTGAATACTTTTAGGAGGATTTAAGAGTTAATTCTCATTAATCATCAATTTTCGACTTACACAAAAATCTCACTTCACTCCAGTCATCGATTTTATTGTTTCGTTTTACCCCAGTCACATCCATGACAGTGTGGACATTAATTTCTTTATATAAATTTTATAAATTCAATTTAAGTCAAAACCTCATGTTGTCCCGACCATCGAGTTTATTTTTCCTCAATACGTCTTGTTTCTAAATTATGTTTATACCTCATCTTTAGTAACAAGAACGTATTTTACTACAAAATTAAATTGCCATTTTATTGTATTAAAGTATTATCGAAATAAATTTCATTTTCAAAAAAGGTCGTGACCGTGTTTTGACCAATTTTTGGTGTTTAATTGTTCTGCGCAGCGTTCTTCAACAATTTCAGCACATATAAATTATGGAATTTAAAGTGGAATTAAAATTTGTGGAATTAAGATTTAACTGTCGGTGTGAACCAGCCTTAATTTGTGCAGTGTGGATGCGGCTTAATGCACATTTTTCCCCAAACGGGCAGCCAATGAGAAGACGGGTTGTGGGAGGAGAGTTTGGCAAAGTTGCCCAAAAAAACCTCCTACACTCTTAACATTATAAGTATTGTCTTGCATATTCCATTTATGTACGTTTTGCTTATACTTATTTCATGGCTCTATTCAACCCGACTTTCTTGAGATATGTGCTTACTTTGTGCCAAGTTCTCGTCAATACACCAGGTTTTGTATGTCTGACTTGGCCTGTATCATGTGGATAAAGCAGAAAAGGGAACGTCCACATAGTACGTCACCACTTTTGTTGTTTGGCGGTTTGGATCTTCTTGTCTTTCCCATATTAAAATTACCTACCCCTTAACGTGGGGTGCGTGGGTGCTAAAATAGGTAATTTTTGATCACATAATATATGGATGGCCCCTTATCTGGGTTTCTGACTCGCTTTGCAACTTTTCACTTAATGTGTGCCTCATGCAAAGCTCGCTTATGCAAACATACTATTTAAATTACATAAATGAATTCAACCGAAAGGTAAGCTATACAAAATTAGCGTTTTTTGCACTTCTCAAAATGTAGAAATATTTAATATGAAAATTTCAGATTTTACGATTTTGGTCTTGCAAAAAGTCCGATTACTCTAACTGTTAGAGTCTAACACAAACAAGTTAGTTATAATTTTTAAATACTATTTCATGGAAATAATTAATAATACGATTACTCTGATTTAAACAATTTACGTATGTATAATTAGGAAATATTATTGGTTTGGACATGGAAGTATGTAATTAATTACTAATTAATCCTAAGTTATGGGCTACACTTCTTAATTAACTGAACGTACTCATTACCCGCGTTCGGAAAAAGGCGTGGAAGTCTGGTATACTTATCGGATATCTTCCCCTCCCTTAATCTTGCTTTCGTATCGTGTTCCTCAAACTCAAAATATTTTACAGTCTTACAAACGTAGGCCGGATTTCGAAAATCGTACGGAAACCAGGCTTTAAAACAGGTCGCTGACCACGTCCCACATGATCCACATTGGAAACTTTCCAATTTTGGGAAATGGTATCGGTAGTCGATCCCACCGTAATAATTTTTCGCCAGAATTAGTCCCACCTGTCGGCCCGGGGTGGCCGTGGAGAAGGCGGGTTTTACAAAGTAAATCTCGACGTCGCCATGCTGCATGGAAAATGAAAATTTTTTCAAGGCAGGAAACCTCGGGAATAGAAGGAATCCTGCAAATTGGGCGTGAATCTGGAGACTGAGCACCCTCAAGGTGGAGGCGTGGCGAAAGAGGAGGATGTACAAGTCGGACATGGCTCGATCCGGGGATAGGATCGAGTTTATGGTTAGTTTGGAAAGGTGACCGGTGGGGAGTTGGAGTAAAGGGTGTAACTCGTCCTGAGTCAGGGGGGCCGAGCTGCAGGGAAGAGTTAGCTGGGTGATGATGCTAAAATAAATAAAATTCCAAAATTAAGGAGTGATTATGATTGGATTTTTGCCCCTCGTCCTCGTATTTGATTCTTTTGCTCCAAAATGAGGGGAGAGGGGTAAAAATCTGAGGATTTTGTGAGGAGAGGGGAGGGCGAGGACTACACAAATTGAGGGGATTTGATAAAAAGTCCCAACTCTGGTTGGCAAGATATAGGAGCCATCCATATATTACGTCATTAAAAAGCACCCACCCACCCAACCTACATGTACATTAAGGGATGGGGAATTTTTACGTGGGAAGGGTTAAAAGAAAAAAATTGTTTAATAAACCGGGACATTTTATCAAAACGTGGACATTTTCGGGACAGATTTTGAAAAACGGGGATGTCCCAGTCACCCAATTAGTGACTTTTACCTTGCGTTGATGGAATCTTTGCTGGAAAATAGGACACGGAGTAGATTCCCAGAAACGGTTAGATTCTTCAAGGCCGGGAATGCTGTCAGAATTCCGGTAAAAAATGTATCATTTTCGCTTTTATCCTCCCCTTCGGCCGGGTTCGGTCTCGAGAGGGATAGTCGCGTCACTTTGGGAAATTTGTGACTCCACGGCGATTCCTCCATGGAAACTTTGAAGGGGTCAAAATCCATGGATAGCTCTTCTAACATTTCCCTTGAGCCGAATAGAATTCCCAGGAACAAATCCAGCTCGGCTTGACCCCCGATTCGGATCGGATTTAGAGAAAGTCTCCGGAATTGGAGGGTTTTCAGGAATAAGGCGTAATTAATATTTTGAGCCGGGTCCGAATCCGAACCGAATTTGATCGAGACGTTGTGCAACTGGTAGAAGGACATGGTTTCAGTGAAGTGATGGCGGGAGAGTTCCTGACAGGTTAGGTAGAGTGTGGAACGTTTTCGGAATTCGGGTAACACCCCTGAATTCCAAGCGGTGTCGACCAGTCGGCAAGATAAGAGGTCGGAAACTGGGAGAAATTTGGAAATGCGGTGGACCACCTGGACAAAGTAAAAGTATTTTATGTGTTATAAAATCTCCTTAGGGCTGTACAAATGTTACGGCATCGAAAATTTTCGATTTTAGCATTCACCTGCCCTCCGTGTACATAATGGGATAGGGAATGTTAACATGGGAAAGATATATAGGAAAACCTAAACCACCCACCTAAACTAAAATGATGACGTAATACATGAACTTTCTCAAAGGTGAGGGGAATCGACAAATATGACTTTGCAAATCTACTAATAGATCTATTCTTGAAATTTTTTCCGTGGATTTTTGAACTTTCTCTGGATGGAAAAGGTAATGATGAGTTTCCGAAATAAGAACTTGTCCAATTGCTAAGATAAATTTGTGTAAAAAAATCCCATGCATACCAAAAAAATTCTCGACACCAAGGAAATTTAGCAAAACTTGACGCTTATAGGCACAGCCACTGGGTGGGCATTGCCCACCCTGGAAAATACGTAAGCAAATGCAAATGCCCACCCTCAATTATTCCCATATTCTTCTAGGTTTTAACTTGGTTGAACTGTTTAAATTTAGAAATATATCGAAATTTAGGTTATTCTCCCAGTGTAAGTTTTTTTGCAGTTCTAGTAATGCCTTACCACTACCTAAACTGACTGTGCCTACATGTTTTTGAATTTCGTAATGATTATTCTTCAATTTTTCGCAAGGTGGTATTTTTTTTACACAATTTAGCGTAAATCTTTTCCCACAATATTCATTGCAAGCACAAAAATCACCTTATTAAACTCGACTTAAAAACCGTGATAACCGTAGTATTAGAAATTATCTTCCAAATATATATAATGCAATTTGGAATTTTAAAATTAAAATAAATAAATTACAGTTTTTAATTTAAATTAAAAATTGAATATTTACATACGTCTCTGTTTAATGCTGGCGTCAACTCGGCCATTTTTAAGTGGAGTCGAAATGGAAATTTTGTCGGCCAGCCGGAACCTCTCCTGTTTTTTTAAAAAATACACTAATGATTCCTAGTTTTTAGAAAATTAATTAAAATACTTAATTGAATGACACCCACCACGTGGTTATTATAAAGCAAGTGTGTACACTAGAGGTGAGCTGGATATCCATTTTTTTGGATTATCTGTGGCCGATCCGATCCAACTGGATTTGGATGGATCGGATCTGAAAATTTTTGGGCCAAACGGATTTGGACGAATCGGATCTGAAAATTTTTGGGTGGGTCGGATTTGGATGGGTTGGATAAAATTTCGTCACCACGTCACATCATGGATTCTTGAAAAATATATTATGAATATATTTATCAAGAATCCGATGCTGTTCAAAACACTAAATGGGTCATTGTTATTTTTGGTGTGGTACACACAAATAAATTGAGACTCCCAATCACATTTATCCCTAACCTATGGTTTGACTTTTTTAAACGAAAGGCTTGCCTGCCATAAGCTTTGCATGTATAAAAGCTCGTTTTAAAATTCAAAGGTTGAATTTCAAACCATATAGGCGAACTGGATAATTTTTTTGGATAATCCATGGCCCGATCCGATCCAACTGGATTTGGATGGATCGGATCTGAAAATTTTTGGGCTAAATGGATTTGGATGGATCGGATCTGAAAATTTTTGGGCTAAACGGATTTGGATGGATCGGATCTGATTTTTTTGGGCCAATTGGATTTGGATGGATCGGATCTGAAAATGTTTGGGCCAAGCGGATTTGGATGGATTGGATCTCAAAAAAAGTCGATCCAGCTCACCTCTAGTGTACACTTACAAAGTTGCTGGAATACACAAGTCGAGCTGCTCACATTTTAGTCTTCCCTTTCCCTCTCTGCATTTTTCCTCTTTGTTCTTCTACGGGAAACGCTATGGTTTAATATCATGCAAAGTTATTTTTAAAAAACTCTTAAATTTGTAACTTTGCAAATTAATTCGAGCTGGCATGTTGTAATTGACACATAAATTTGCGAATTGAAGAGAGAAACATGGCAAAGGTGGAAAGCTTTTTTAAATTTCACTTAAGGAAATTATGCGTCTGAAATTTACCAAATACATACTAAAATACAGGGTGGTTTAAATGTCACGCTACAATGGAAAATTTTTCAATGGAAAAGAATAATAAATTTCCATTAGTTATCAAAATGTTGTCTCTAAAATTCAACATTTGGGAAATTTGTCACCAGTCTTCCATCAGTTTTGGTAATAATTATTCAGAATCTCAATCCCAAATCTTGTAACTACTACAGATTTAGGGACTTTACTCGTTGAAAAATTTCCCATCGTAGCGTGACATTTAACCCTGCCCCCCCCCTGTATACGTAATAATTTCAAAAATTCCAAAACCAAACTTACGTACCTAACTCTATCATAATTATGCACATTGTACGCACATGGAATTCAATTAGCTGATTAATTAATTACTAAATCTATCGAATTCCCAACAGGAAATAATTCTTATTATGCACATGTTTAATTTTCAGATTTGCAAAAACATTTATAAACACTCATCTAGTTTGGCGAAACACATTGAGCTAAGTCACACTTCGCCCCGAGCACGTGTCTTATGCAGCATTTGCCACCGAACATTTTCGCACAGTTCATATCTACTCCGACACAAGAGATGTATTCATGCCGAAGTCCGACCCAGTTTCCCATGCACGTTCGACGGATGTCAGAAGCAGTACAGACATAAACAGGATTTAGGAGTGCACGTGAAAATTCACCACGCCGAAAATCCGGATCGGTTTCCATGCGCCCCTTGTGGCCTTGAAGTTCCGCAGAGAAAGCAACTCGATCGACACATTGCGACCCATACGAAGGAGAAGACCTTCAAGTGCAACACGTGTGGGAGGAGTTTCGCGTTGAAGGGAACTTTGCAGTATCACGTGGTAAGGGCTTCGTTACACTAAATAAAAATTTTGAAACAAATCTTCACCCCGAGGAGGTAGGTCTATTTTTGGGTAATGATTCAGGGGATGTTGGGTCACCAGTGGGAAATGAGGCAATAATTCGTGTCCCAATCAGACGCTATTAAAAAAAAATCAATACTTTTATGTAAAAATAAAATCCTATAGTAAGATATAAATGTTCATTTTTTTAAATAACGGCGTCATGTACGTATGCTTCATACACGAGTTTTTGCCATATTTCCAAATGGTGACCGTCACCGTAATCAGCACACAAAAGTAGAGCACTCCCGCGGGTGCAGATGCGTCTCATATTTATTTACAGGGTTCTTAATTCGTTTTCGTTCTAAAATTGACAAGATGAATGGTAGGGCGGGTAAAATCGGTTTTCTTGATTTTGCAAAAACCGATATTCAATTAACACGTTTTACAATTTCAAAGACGGTTTTACACTTTAATAAAAAACGTTTCATAAAAGACGGCTTTTACACGCTCAGTCAAAAATCGGTTTTCCGTTACGCATCCGGCAAATTATAATTATAACTAGCCTAGAAGCCCGTCTTAAAGACGGGCCGCATTTTGGATTGGCTTATTAAGTAAATAAGTGCAAGAATAATGTAGCTAAAACAGTAGTAGCTTTGTTTGATAAATTTTTTAACTGTTGTTAAGGAGTTTTTTAAAAGGATACTAAGGCATTTAAGGCATACTAAGGCGTTGCTACAGAAATTTTTTATGTTGCCAGACAATTTTTTTCATGTTGCTAAGGAAATTTTTAACGTTGCTAGGGAATTTTTTCCACATTGGTAAGGGAATTTTTTAACGTTGTCAGGCTATTTTTCACGTTACTCAGGAAATTTTTAAATGTTGCCAGGCAATTTTGTTTACGTTGCTAAATAAATTTTTTAGTGTTGCTAAGGATTTTTTTAAATGTTGCTAAGGAATTTTTTAAGGTTGTTAAGGAATTTTTTTAATGTTGCTAAGGAACTTTTTTAGGTTGCTAAGGAATTTTATAAGGTTGTTAAGGGTTTTTTTATGTTGCTAAGGAATTTTTAGCCCGAACCAGGGCTTATGTAATTGTCATGTCCGTCCGTCCGTCCGTCCGTCCGTCTGTCTTTCGATAACTCCCGAACGGATTGACCGATTGACTTGAAACTTTTACCATATTTATATTGGACAAAGTTAGGAACCGAGTTCGAAGGTAGGCAAAATCGGTCCAGTGGTTGACCGGTGGGGGTCAAGTGAGTGGGGTATTTTGCACCAAAATTTCAAAATGGTCGTAGAAAGCTGAAATTTAGCACAGAGCTAGTTAAGGGTTCCTACCGGAAGATTATGAACTGATATCGGCCAAATTTTTATCTGGAGGGAACCTACGGGGTGACCCATACCGATTTTTGAAAATCATCCAATCGAGCTGAAATTTGGTACGAAGGATGTTATTACCTTCTAATGAAAGAATATAAAGTGAAATTGAAAATTTTTTCAACCGAAGGTAACCTATGGGGTGACCCATACCGATTTTTCGAAATCATTCTATCGAGCTGAAAATTGGTACAAAGGTTGATAATATCTCAATATGGAGGAATATGAAAACAAATGGGAAAAAATTTCACCGGAATGGACCAGTGGGGGTGATCCCTACCGATTTATAAGCGTTGACTTTTAGAATTTGGCGTGAAGTATTTAAGACTAAGTATTGACGCTAAATGTAATATAGTAACATTTAGTACTAATTTTATAGGAAACTATTGACAAATATGGGTTCACTAATCAAACCTGGTTCAGGCTAAGCAAAGCTGTACTGATAGGATTTTTAATGTTGCTAAGGAATTTTTTTAATGTTGCTGAGGAATTTTTTTAAGGTTGCTAAGGAATTTTTCCAACGTTGCTAAGGAATTTTTATATTGTTGCTAAGGAATTTTTTTAATGTTGCTACGGAATTTTTTTAAGGTTGCTAAGGAATTTTTCTAACGTTGCTAAGGAATTTTTTTAATGTTGCTAAGGAATTTTTTTAAGGTTGCTAAGGAATTTTTCTAACGTTGCTACGGAATTTTTTTATTGTTGCTAAGGAATTTTTTTAAGGTTGCTAAGGATTTTTTTTAAGGTTGCTAAGGAATTTTTTTAAGGTTCCTAAGGAATTTTTTTAACCATAACCATAACCATAACCATAACCATAACCATAGTCATTACCATAACCATAACCATAATTATAATCATAACCATAACCATAACCATAACCATAGTCATTACCATAACCATAACCATAATTATAATCATAACCATAACCATAATCATAACCATAACCATAACCATAACCATAACCATAGTCATTACCATAACCATAACCATAATTATAATCATAACCATAACCATAATCATAACCATAACCATAAGCATAACCATAACCATAATCATCACCATAACCATAACTATAAGCATAACCATATCCATAACCATAACCATAACCATAACTATAACCATAACCATAATCATAACCATAACCATAACCATAACCATAACCATAGTCATTAAAATAACCATAACCATAATCATAATCATAACTATAATCATAACCATAATCATAACCATAACTATAACCATAACCATAACTATAACCATAACCATAACCATAACCATAACTATAACCATAACCATAATCATAATCCGTGCTCTAATTGGTGGACCTAGAATCCCAACAGCCAATCAGAATGCTGGAATGTCACGGAAAATTTAACGGGACGGACTTTTCGAAATTATAATATAGATTATTAAGTTGAGTTTCATGTCGACTTTTTTTCAGGCGAGGCACGTCGAGAAATCTAGTCGAAAATTCGTTCCGTGTAATCGATGTGACGCAAGATTTTTTAGCAGACACGGTTTTATTCAACACATCCGAGATTATAACGAAAACCGAAAGAATTTACGATGCAAGTTTTGCGACCAGAGGTTTGGATCCGTTTGTGCTTTGAGGGGACATGTCGGAGCGAATCACGCGTCCACGCAGCAGGATTCCTGGGACAAGTGTAATTTTGAGAAGAAGCATGCCTGCTATTTCTGTGGAAATAAGTTCCAGGCATGGCCTGAGTTGGTGAGACACTTGGGCAGAATTCACACGCTTGAAAAATGATCATGCTGAGCTGAACCAGGACAAGTGTGCCACAA